GCCCGGAAGCTTCCGTAGGGTTCCCCGCTCGGGCATCTCACCGGCCAAAACCTCTCGCGCTTGGTTAGTGATAAAATAAAATTCTAAGAAGTTGGGGAGGGATGTAAAAAAGAAAAAAAATTAAGGTGAATTGAAGCCCACCCCTGGAAAAGAAGGAAATAAAAGGTTTCACGAGCCAGGCCCGGGCGCTTCTGGCTGGGGGAAGCGCGGGGCAGAGCTCAGGGCTGGGCGACAGGCTGGCTCCCAAAGGAATTTTTTTTTGGTTGTTTGGGGGTTTTTTTTGGCCCTGAATCCCCTTTAAAAAAACAAAAAAACAATTTAAAAATTAAAATAAAAAATAGAAATAAACGGGAATATATTGATGCGGGGTGATCGCTGGTCCTGGCTGTGGAGAGGTGGGATGTGCTCAGACTCCAATTATCCGACAGCGCTTTCCTGATCCGTAACGCGGCCGGCCGGCCCGCTCCTGCTCCGTATCCCAGCTCCGCATCCCGGCTCCGGTGGGGGCAGCCTTAGCCACTTGGCTTTTCTGAAAGGCCTTTGGTGGGGGGGAAGTTGTGTCTCTCCTGCCAGAACTTTACAGTGGAAATCATCTTCTTTTGGGTTGTTTTTTGGTTTTTCTTTAAGAGCCGAAGAGAACACCTCACTTATCTATTTCTTTGTAATTCCCAACTTCCAAAACACTTCAAGAATTCAAGGAGAAAACAAACAAACAAAACACCCCCAATTTCTGCTGGGGAAGCGCCTCCAGGTAGGAGCATCCCTACACCCCGCGTCCCTCGGGGCTGATGTTGGGCGCTCGCTCCGGCTCCCGGGCGGCGTCGCAACCCCTTCTGAGGTTTTCCAGGCGTTAACTGTATCGTTCCTATAACCATCCATATTTTTGTTGTCTTCGAGGAAGTATTTACCGTGGATTTTTCTCCTTCCGCAGACCCTTGCGATGTCCCGTTTCAATGAGACTTAAAAGAGCTAAAAAAAAGTTTATTATTTTTTTTGTTTCCCCCCGAGGCCTTTCCTATGGAAAACACACGGTTCCTTGACTTGTAGAGGCCGTATTCCGAAGCATTATACGGATGGGACTCCGGGGGGTGGGTGGGCAGGGATGCTGGAGATTTGATTTCTTTTTATAGAGAGACATTAAATTTACAACTAATAAAATGCCCCTGGAGCTGGGGGGTGAGTCCCTGCCTGGGGGAGAACGTGCCTGGTGCGGCCGCTGCCGGAGAAGGGATTGGGGGGTGTAGGG